AAAGTTGAACTGTTTGTTAAGAAGTACTGTTTTAGGTTTCTCTCTTTTTGTAAATTATTTTCTAAAAAGTTGAAGAGTTTTGATCAATTTGCATAACATAATAAATACTTGAGCCCTTTGTGGTTTTCAGGGCCAGCTGTTTTCTCTAGCTTTAGCTCTATGATTAAGGATTAAGGGATGCAAAATGATGAGAAATGCACAGGGCAATGCTGCCTTTGGAAGATTTAACACCATGCTGAGGACTTTTATATTCTCTGCATTTCCCTTCCCTTTACAGGTAAAATAAACAAGAAAACTACCAAAAAGGCCATTCAAAGAGTATAACTCAACATGTCAAAGGCAAGTTTTATTTGAATCTATTTCAAGAAAGTATTCTAATATTCATATTCACACACATTACAAAACCTAAGCATATACATGCAAGTTCCTGAGAAATCCCAGTATAGGACAACTTCTCTGTGAATCTAAATATTTCTATCCATGTGAGTACATGTAAGAATACTTGTGTTTTGGTGTTTCAATGTAGTATTATCTTGTTTTTTTCAGCTTTTTTTTTTTTTTTTTTTTTTTTTGCTGGCATTTTCAAGGTTTAATATTCACTTGGAAAGAGGGGGAGCCTTGGAATTCTTTTGAGACATGCCTTATTCATCTTGAAGTCATCCTGAAAATGTGGCAGGCCATTAATACTTTTGTAGAGAAACACAGGCTCCATTTTTCCAGTGTAAATATATGCTGAGGTCTGTCTTTAAATGTGTACCTAGGAGTAAGAAAGGTTGAGAAGAGAGAGAATGATACTTTTGCCCTGCATTCAACTTTGAGTGTTATGAAGAGAAATAGTTTACATAAAATATTTCTACAATAAGGAGATTCAAAGGCTTGAACATTTTTGTGATCGCTCCTGTCCTTTTTTTCAAGACTATTATTATCTCTGATTCTGAGCCAGATACACTATTTACTTAGAAGCCATTGATTCGATATTTATTTACAACTAGTAGGCAAGTTAAAGAATGTAAAATACATGATTCTTCTGATAATTGTTTTTTAAATCTTAGGTTTATTTGGGGGAATTTCTTCCTTTTTCTTTATGCCAAGAATGGCTAATGCTTGTGAATGTCAAGGGACATAAAACCCCATTACATGAATTTCCCAAAGTCAAAGAATGCCGAATTAATGCTGTAAGCAAAGCTGTGACATCAAAGCATAGAGTGCTACAATTTAGTTCAACAGTTTCCTGTAGATCTGGCTTTGTTCATTGTAAGTAATCTTTTAAAAAGTTACTTAAAAATTCAAGAGCTGTATGGTTTAGAAATTTAGAAACTCAAGTGATTTCAAGGAAGGAATATTTGTTTTTCTAATTGCCATTGGTGGCTGGAAGTCATGAAACAGTAACCAGCTTATTTTTAGCAATTTTTCTGTTTAATTCCTTTTATGTAGAAAAGACAACAACTGCAGGCATTATGAGGAAACTAGGGGAGATTAAAGAGAAATCACTGTAGAAACAACTTTTCAGATAACTGCATCATTCTTAGTACTCCCTGGTCCGAAAATGGTTCAACTTGTCTGAAAAATGAAGAGGTCAAATATGTGCACACGGCCACTTTGCCAAGTGTGGGTAAGTTGATATCTATGAAGATTTATGAGTATCCCCTCACTACCTGTCTCCTCCATTCCTTGTACTGTCTAGCCTGACTCAAGTTTATTTTTCTTTAGTTAAAGCAGCTACTAAGAATAACATAAATAAAGAACTGAATAGTTAAATGGAGTGTGTATGTATGTGAGAAAGGAGAGAGATTAGTATTTAATTAAAATGTACCAAAATGTATCTGTATATACTTCTGACACACAACTGCCTATTTACCTAATGATGCTGATACTAAACAACTGATTTTGAAAAGTATATAAAAATAAAAATAGACACAACATATTGGAAAATAATAACAATTTTAACTGGGTTCTAGAATTATATGATCTTTTCCAAGCATGGTCCAGCCATAAAATTATTTTATTTTTTCCCTTCAAAATGTAGCCAAGAAACAAACATCTATCTTTGCTTTCACTGCAGGAAAGAACCAGTGTCTGGATTAGTTCCAAGCCATCCAGACAGCTATTTCAACTGGAACAAGTGACCTTTGGAACAGACTAGAACATAACAGCCTGGCCAGACAGAGGGGAGGGAGTAGGCAGTTGGGAAGGACCCCAACATGTTCTTCTGAAAGCTCATTTGAAATAAGAGGACAATAAAAAGTTAAGGACAGAAATATGAACTTAAAAATATGTCAAACCAGTAAAACCTGTGTGACCACAATACGGGATTCAAGAAAAGTTAGAGTTTTTAGCTGTCATTCTTTCATATACACGCTATATATATATCTAACCCCGTGAGCACGGGCCCTGTCCCTTAATTACATAACATTCATGTTTGAATCGTCATAGCCTCTTTGACACTAAGTAACCATTATTTTTTCTTTTCCTCTATCAATTGGGCCAGACTTCCTTAGTCTATGATTCTATGGTGATTGTTAGACAAACTTCAATAATTACTAAGAGATTTATTTAGCAAATTATTGCTACAATAGAAGTTAAAATAATAATAAATATTTTATTGGAAATTAGATAATGGTTATCTTCTCCCAACATTTATTTGAAGGCATGCTGTTCTTTTCTAAGAGAACATAAAACATTTAAGTTCACATCATTAGCAAGAAGCATCTAAATAAATATGCAATCTTTTAATGAATGCTTTTGGACAAAGTGTTGTACTTGGTAACAAAGAGGAAGGATGTCAAGGCAATACTGTCTTCAAAATGGTTGAAAAATGGAGAGCAAAGCTTTTTAAAAAATGTTTTATTAAAAATACAAAAAGAAAGATGTTTCTTAGACAATATCTTATTGATTTTACAAAATATACTATCATAAGTTGATTATGTCCAAGGTACTAAGAAAATACGAGATTTCAGAGTGTTCTTTCTTGGAGAACTTTGTTATTCCAGCAGGTACTGGAAAATATTTTTAAGAAGACAACTTCTATAGCTTCTAATCAGGCCTTCTTGAATGAAAACATAAACCTTTAAAAGTCTTAATGAATATTCCAAGGTGTCTATAGAATTGCTTGAAAACTAGAAGATTTGGTTCAATGAACTTGGCATATAGATCTGAATGAATGCCAAAAATATAGCTAAGGTAAAGAAAATAAATTTTTACAAAATTTGTGTTACATAGTCTTGGTGGTACTATTAACTGACAAAAAACACAATGTTAATGATACAGAAATAAGAAATTTGGTTATTTCAATTTATCACGTAATGTCAGAAAAATGGAAAGTGAGCCTTTAATCTCAACTCCTTCTTAAGTATGCCATTAGAATTGGCATAGTATTGATTAGAAGTATTGATTAGAAGCTAAGAAGTAGAGCAGAACAAAATGAATCCAGAGAAAGACAATACTGTCTGCTACTTACATAATATTCGTATTTCTTAAACTGTATTTTGAAAGCAAGAAAATAGACCATGAATGATTTTAGGAGGCTGTGTTCTTGCTAGATTAAGAAAATCCCACTTGGAATTCTAGAGAAATTATGCTTTTGGGGAAGGAGTTTCATTAGTGGATTATCACGGACCTTAACAACAAAAGATCAAAACATGAAATAAATGTACAAGAATTAAAGTTTGTGTCAAATTTGTGAGATGGACATTAGAGGGGGGAGATTTTAAATATTTGTCTGAAGTTATATAGGAAGAAGACACTTTCTGCATGAGACACAGGGGTCCAAGGGCAATTCCAACTGTGACCATCACATTTATGAACTCCCTATAAAGGGTGTAGTTTAGGTGGAGTCTGAAATTCAGTTGTCAAAAATGACTCCAAGATTCTTCAAGTAATTTAACAGAGGATGAAGCCCAAAATCATGAGTAAATATTGAATCTGGAAGTATATGTGGAAACATTGGAATAGAAAAACATTAACAGCCAGTTTTTTCAAGGTTATGCTAAGTAACATAAAAACGAATAAAAAAAATCAGTATTTAGAAATGCAACATATTATCTATCAGAAATCCTACTGAAAATACATTCCCATAATATTATTCATTTTTTTAAGAAAAATCCAAATCCAAATAAAAGAACAAAAAGAGATGAAGAAAATTTTTGCCATTGGGCTATTCTGATAAACTTCACACTGGATGTCTGATAGCTGACATCAGCCAGTACGAGGTACCCAGACTTAAACATACTTAAATATAAGTGTTCCTGGGGAAGTTTTTGGTTCACACAGTGTTGTAATACATATTGGCTTTTATTCATTAACTTATATGCTTCTCATACTTTTACTTTATGACAATAAACTGACTGAAATCAGGGATCCTGTCAATTTAACGCTACCTGCTAACACATGTTAGCAAACTTGCTAGATGTTTTCTTACCCCATAAAGTACATGTTATTCATATAAAGTGAGTAATAAATGAATTTTATGGAATGAATTGATGAATTGTTCCTTGGTGTTCAAAGGCTGTGCATGTGAGTCCCGTGTCCATAAAATACTTACCATCATGTTTTAAATTGATTCAAAACTTCTTCATGATTGTACTCTTAGTCATAATCCGCATCCTATTATCAAGTTCCACCTTTATAAAACTGTCGGCCAAGACACCCTTTGCATTACTGCTAAGTTAAAAAAAGCCTCCAGTTATGAAATTGATATTTACATAATACAGTTTTTGCACCAGATGCTTCTGGTAAAAGGAAGCAAATCATGACCTCTCTCACCAGCAGGATCAGTCCACTGTTTTCACAATTGAATGACATTTGCTCATAAAGCTAAAATGTGTGTGGGCTGCAAGAAATGAAGTTAAAGGTAAAGACCTTTATTTCTTCTTTGCCTTTCTCTCTGACTCTCTCCCTTTCTTTTAGCTCCATTTATGATCAAGAAAATCTGTTACATAATTAGCTTCAGAATGTGTCTATATTAATTACAGATTATTTAACAAATGAATTATGCAATTTAATTTATTTAAAATCATTTATTTTCAGGAAAACCAAACATATCATTGAGTTTACATAGAAATACAATTTTCAACCAGATCTTCATAAAAACGCACTGGAGAAATAAATGTTCATAATTAATGACCAATTATGTACTATTTCATCATGCCAGTAGCAGAGTTGATTACCATTAAAAATTGGTAAAGTAACAGATCTTAAATGTGCAAATACCATCTCAGTACTCTATTGTGTTACCATTGATAATAAATGGCCACTAAATATATACCTATTACATAAATCTTTTTAAAGTACAATAAAAATACAAATTCTATCTGTTAAAAAAAGCCACTTATATGGCTTCTAAACATCCTCATTATACAAATTCCAAAATACTATCTGACGAACAAAATTATAAAGACTCTTCCTTATGAAACATATATTGTCCTCTAATTAAGGTACAACTTAGCAGATAAAAGAAACTAAACAAGAAGGCTCATATATACCATATAACATTAAGGAAAAACAGACAAATATATATTGCATAAGCATATTTGATTTCTTTTCCTAGTGAAAATGTACCTTTAACACTTGAAGAAAATTCCCGTGAGTAAATGATAAATCTATTTTTGAGGGTTACCCCTAATTTAAGTCACATTTTCATTAATTTAATTTATTTATCTTATAATGTGATGAACCAAGTTAGAAATTTTGATCATAAATTTTTGCTGTACTGAGTACAAATTAGTCTGTTATGTAATGGGTAAAGGTATAGAAAACAAATATTTTAAAAAGTCTAAGTTCATCAGCACATCAAGAATGAAATGCAGGAGAATTTTATTGCTCATGTTCAAGACTAAACTGAGCAGTAACGAGGGTTTTTTTTAAATGAGATTTTTGACTTTAACAAAACAAATACAAATTGAATTTACCAAATAATATTGATAATTCATATAGAATGGGTGTCACAGATTTTAAAGTATCAAAACCAATGGGGCATCACAAAATAAACTTTGGTGAAAAATATCTTCATCAAAGAAGAAAATATGAGAAGAGTAGTCCTTATGTAGTGAGAAGAAATATATTTGGTAAAGTAAATATGGATAATAGACACTGAATCTATAGATAGCATATATTCCAAATGTTTTTTAGGGAATATCAAATCAGATGATGCTTAGATGTTATAGTAATATAACTTATCTCATTTGGAATGAAATTTAAAGTTTTTTAAATAAACAGCAAATTTTCATTTTTTCATTATCTTTGTAAAACAAATTAAATATTTAGAGTATAACTGATCATAACTAACATCACCTTGCATTTACTAATAAATACTCTAAATACATTTGGTTTATTATTGGAATTTATATCCTTATAATTTTACCTGCTAGAAATTAGTGACCTTGTGGCATTATGTTTAAAGTTTACATTTTCCCAGTGATATGAACAGTATTTATACATAAAATGACATCTGTCTAATGAATAGTAACATGTTTGTTGGTTTGAAAACAGACCATGTTTAGTTTGGCATTGGCATATCTCTTCAGAATTTAAAAAGTTATCTTTAAGGTATGGCTTTTGGGAAATCATTAATAAACCAGCAATCTGGAAAATGAATACAAGTTTCAAGATGCTAACTAAATAGAACTCAGACACAAGGCAGGTATTTGTATAATATGTCTTTCAATTACAAATTCATATACAGTAGAAATAGAAAGGAACATAAAAGTATGATCTACTTTATAGTAAGTTGTTTTTAAAATAAAAATTATAGATCAATAGTGAAGGTGAGGAAATTTAACTGAAAAAATTTTCAAAATATTAAAATATTCAAAAACATATTGGCACATGAATAATACCTATCTTAAAGTAATAATAAATGACATGTGTATAGAAACACATTTAACATGAATCAGGATTTCTTGTTCTTGATGTCAGCACCTACTGTCTAATGGGTCGAGACAAAATACTGTGCCTTCAAGAGTTAGTCCCATTTTGAACCCCTCCTGTAAAACAGAATAAAATCATTAATATCCAAAATGCTCACAGCAAAATAAAATAAAATAAAATCAGTGAATAAAAAAGACTACGCACTGAAGTTGAAATATTCATGCTTTGATCAACTAATAATAACTATATGTAAAATGTTGACTTGTTGAATTTTTATATAGGTGTATAAGCACTGGTAGTTCTTTCAGACCCATTAACACTTTAATGTTTTAAATATATGTGAGGTTAGCATGCATGAGAGACAGAAGAAAATACATAAAATTAAGACACAGGTTTCGTTTTCAGAAAAGGTTAGTTACTACATCATTCTATCGCAAATGAAATCTGTTAGCTTTAAAAATTATTATTAATTTAAATATTATTAAGATAGTTAGACTTCAAATTGATGAGAGGTTCAAGATATCCTGATGATTTTCACCTTTTCTTCCCGGTTAGCACTGACCAGAGCCTTGGTAAAATACTTCTTTAAAATGGAATGCCATATCCTCTGTGGAACATACAACTGCAGATTATTTTGCCATGGAGAAAACTTCCCCTACTAGCCTTGCTGTCGCTTGTAGCGGACTGGCTTCTTTGACTCCTACTCTCCCTTGCATATTTTAGAAGTTAAGTTGTCTTTGATTTATTGAGTGTAAGAACACAATTGCTATGAAAGTGTTTTTCCACCAAGATTTTGAGTTAAAAGTTAATGACAAAGGAGTCTGTCCTTCTCCACTCCAATCTCTCTATTGTTTTAATTGCATAATATAATTGAACTGCGGGTCATCTCTTCTTACCACCTTTCCTCATTCCTACCCTTTCTTGTAAATCTCTACACATGGGCCTACAAAAAGATGAAAAGCACAGACTTGCACTGATCGATGAAAGTGGAGGTTACATTGTAAATCTCCTTGTAGAAGCAAATGTGGTAGTGCTCTCTATATACTCTACCTTTTTTTTTCTTGCTAACAGAACTGAAATGTTTCAGAAAGGTAATTTGTAATTTCGAGTGGCCATGTGACACATTATTGGCAAATAATATGCAGATAGCAGTGTATTCCTAAAGAAAAGAAAATGCCTCTTAAAGGTAACCATTGGTTTTCACCTCTGCTTTGGGTGTTTTATTCAATTAGACTGACTATATTTACGTGTATGTTAGCTAATTGTGTATCTTTTTGCATCTCCCCAAATTACTTTTATTTAGAATAGTTATGTAAATGTTCCTATCTTTCTCTAAATCCAGTGTAAACATCATCATATGGAGGAGGAAGGCAGTTACAAAGCTGTAAGCCACACTTTGTTATTAATGTTCAAAGAACATTCTTCATTATGTTTATAGCACAGAGACTACTACTATACAGCAATATAGTGATGTAATCATTGTGAAAGTTTTTCAGAAGTCTTTCCAGTACTTGGAATACAATCTTTATTTAGTTGAGTAAATATGAGAGTACTTATCATTATTTTTTAAAAATCTGTTCTTACCACAAAATACATTTTGTCATATTTATTTATATTTCTCAAACAGCCAGCAAATACTTAGAAAAATAAATACTTCATAATACTGTAAGTAAACTTTTCTTTAAAATTATTTTATTTGGATATCTGAAGATTTGTGTATTATGTCATCTTCTGGTATACTATAAATGGTAGAGAGATGATACATTGATAGACAGATAATGACAGATAGAAAGAGTGTGGAAATGTTTGATATCATATGGTACTTTTAAATTGTATCAGTTCATTCTGCTAGTAAACCAGTATCACTTCAATTACACTGAAAATACTATTTGTCAACGTGTTATCAATATTGGAAAAGCAGAATAGCAGTCAAAGTAAAATAGAGGTTAATTACTATTTTAATAATAAAGTGTTAGTATATGACTTACGATAGTATCTATCTCTATATTGACTTTTTAGGGATTCTTACATATTATAAGGTTTGTTGATTTTCTTTTTTCCTAAGATAAAATTTCCCACACATTTCCTGTCTTCTTCGTAAGTCCCATTTTGCAAATCACAATTTAATAAACTCCAAATCATTCCATATCCTCTTGAGCTTCAAACCTCTTAATAAAAATGATACTTTATTTATGCAGTGATGGGAATTACCATAAGCTAATGTCACACAAAAGAATGATTAATTAAAATATTATTCATCATATGAGTTTTATATGTAATATTTTTATGAATTTTCTTATTTTGAAATAGAAAAGCATATCAAGGAAGGAAAAACCACTGCACTTTGAGGTATGTCTTTTTTTCTATCTATAGAATTTTAAAAATGATTTTAATGATAACATGAATGTCTATATATTTATGCCATACAGTTTTCTTATGTAAGTAATTTATTACATATATAGTTTTATATCTTCCTCTTTTCATCTTTGCAGACCTTGATTATTCTAAATTCCCACAAAACTAATTTATTATGACTATATAAAATGCTATTAATTTTTACAATGATTGCTTCCCAGCATTTTAAAATTATGAATAATGTTGACTAGGTATTTTTATTCATAGAGATTGAACACATTTATAATTACTTTTTCTTGAGAATAGATTGCTTTAAAGTTTTGATATCAAATAGAAATAAAAGTATTAATAACAAGTTACTCTTTAAAGAGATTGCTAGGCCATAGTTACCTCTGAACTAACTCTGGCCTGCCAACAATTTACAGTACTTGTTTTATTACACTTTCATTTGTATTGATTGATTATTAGTTTAAAAAATAATCTGCTAGATTAAAATGGCATTACAGTTCTTTATTTGATTTGTATGTTTACTTTGATTAGACAGAACATGTCTACATATGTGTAAGCCACTGGTGGTCTTCTTTTGTGAAGTTTTTTTATTTATCTGTTGATTTTTTAGTTTCCTAGTCATTTGTCTAATTGCTTTAATTACATATATGTAATGTATTTATACATTTTTAGACAGTAAATGTTAAAAAATTGGATACTATATGTCTATATTTTTCTTTTTCTTATAAAATTTTCTTATCAATTCAAAAGTCTGATGAATATTCAGTAATATTTTAAACATCTTAAAATGTTGATTACTTCTGAAATTTATCTCGGCATTTGCTGTAAGTTTCAGCAGTACATTGATCTTCTCCCAGAGTACTAGCCAGCTGACTTAACACCACTTGTATGTGATTTTTTCATCCTTTACGAACTTGCCATGCTTGTTTTTTAATGTATTAAATTATTATAGCTTACATGTTACAGTGTGGCCTATCAATATTATTCCACTTAGCTTCCTGTTGGTAACATGTGCTGGACAGTTTAAATTATGTCAAATCAAATAGCTACATTATTGATTTCAAATAAATGTTTAATTTTCTAACTGCTTATACTGAAATATGGTTTAACATTTCTGCATAAATGCTTACATGCATGAGACATTTCTGTGATTTCAAACTTAATAATTCAATTCTCTTAAAAGTAGCTTAGTCACAATACTCTAAATGAAAGATGAAAACTAAATGTCTCACTAAGCTTATTAACTCAATATGGTATTCACAATCCACTGCACTATATTAAGTTTTTATAGGATATGCAAAGATATAGTAGCTACATGTGTGCATTAGATTCATTAGGCTAGCAAGATTAATAATAAAAGCCATCATAGAGTTTAGATGAAGAAAATATTATTTTACTTTTGTTAAAGTGACCTTGCCACTAAATCTTGGACTAAAAGAAACAATCATGGCCAGGTATGGTGGCTCACGCCTGTGGTCCCAGCACTTTTTGAGGCCTAAGTGGGTAGATGGCTTGAGCCCAGCAGTTCAAGCACAGTCTGGGCAACATGATGAAACCCTATTTTTAACAAAAAATACAAAAATTAGCCATGCGTGGTAGTGCATACTTCTAGTCCCAGCTACTCAGGAGGCTGAGGAGGGAGGATTGCTTGAGCCTGGGCAGTGGAGGTTGCAGTGAGCCAAGATCACGCCACTGCACTCCAGCTTGGGTGGGGCGATAGAGTGAGATTCTGCCTCAAAGAAAAGAAAAGAAAAGAAAAGAAAAGAAAAGAAAAGAAAAGAAAAGAAAAGAAAAGAAACGAGAAAAGAAAAGAAAGAAAAAACAATAAAGTGAACAATGCAATAGTGACTAAGTCATCAAAAAATAATCTTAAAATATGGTTTATGAAACCTCTTTAAACATAACTATCAGATATACCCATATGAAGCTGTTGTTTGAATTTTTATTAAATAAAGCATGCAAATTTTAAGGTTTCAGCTTTAAAAATTTGTAAGTTGTTTAAAATTGTTATAAAAATAATATACCAACCATCTCTGGCGCTACCCACCATGAAAGCAGTAAAGAATTAAAAAAGACATTAAGAAAATATTAGAAACAGCAAAAGCAAAAACATCACAGTTTAACATTATTTGAGTGTCACATCACTCAATCATCCCAATACAGTATGTCTCACACTTGGTTCCAACAAAATCTGGAAATAGAGGCTTATCCTTAAAACTCAATAAATTTTTTTTCCCAATTTTGGGAAAATCTAAAAAATTCATAGAAAAGTACTCTGTATTACCTGTGTAACCCTTGAGAATAAATACTACCACATAAATATTTCTTTGTTACTACAAAAGCATTAGTACCAGATAGTACATGTCCAATGGGTAAAACTAATGTAAAAGGAAAGGAATTGATTTCATATGAAATACAGCATTCTTGCTAAATTATCATGCACCATTTGAAAGTTTCATAGTATTTGAAATATAGAAAAGAAGTAGGAAATCTGTGCCATCAAACAGTATACATGTTGAAGTCAATAGAAATTTTAAAAGGTGATTTTAGTTTCAACCAAATAAGATCATCCATCCTCTACTAGGGTTGCAATTTGACTTTCATTTAATTTATAATTTATTGAATTCATAATTTTATAAAAACTATAAGACAAGTTGTTTATAATATTTTTGTCAATATTTAAAAATTGTAAGTTAATACTAAGGATCTAAAATAATTTTTTATGTAAAAGGGGATTAAGAATCATTCAACTTGAGAAACACTGTTTCAACAGATTCTTTGACAACCTGAAGGCATATGTTAAGTAATTCAACTTTTAAATTCAGGCATGTTATTACATCTTGAACAATAATTAATTCATGTATTACACAGAAAATGAGATAGCTACACAGCTGCCGTCAAAAATGAGTAAAAGGGCATTTAAATTAACTTTCTAAGAAGGATTGTAATTATCAGTGATAGATCAGAGTTCACCTATAATTGTTTTTTCTAGGAAGTGAGGCATTGAGAATGAATGTATTAAGCCAAGACTAATAAACAAAAATACCTCATTCTCCTTACTTTAGTGTCTTCATTGTCTCTTCTCAATCAGCTTCATATAATTGGTGTCTGTCTGGATTCTACCATATATAAACTTTTTGATGAAAAATAGGATATAATAACTTCACCAAAATGTAAAGGGCAAATATAAAGAGAAGACTTTATTCTGGGGTTTATAAGACTATTTTTAAATCATGGCCCATAGTGCAAAGCATTTAAAACCAATTTCTGTAAACTGCAGACCAATTTAGAACAAAAAAGTAAAAGGAAGAGAGAGAAATGAAAACCCAACTGAACTACATTCCTAAAGAAGTTGTCACTGGGTGTCTGCTTTTTAAATAAAAGCCCAAAAGTTATGAACTACAGCTACAATGCTTCTTTTCAGAGAGAATAATTTCAATCTTACAAAGATTTTCCCTCATCTACCCATTTACAATTTTCAAATTCGTAATTGTTAAGACTGAGATCAAATCTTATAAATCTAATGCAATGACTTTTTAACTCTAGATTTCAAAACAATGAACCATTAGAATCCATGCCATTTTGTATTAAAAAAAAATGAACCATCTTATTGCCATTGTAAATTGAACCATTAAAAAAACCAACGACCTTATCCTTAGCAATTGTAGGAGTATTTTTAGGACTAACTGTACATTATTATTTTAAAGTAATTATTTTAAGTGAGTTTTTATAGTGAAAATAATTAAAGGCAACCATAGTTTTGGTACATAACATTCTCTTTGTTCCATATCAAAATAAAATAAATCATTTATGGGCCAGTCAGTCACAATAGTCACCTGCATCTCATCTAATTTTGATTGAATATCTGGAGGGAAATCTGCTGCTCCACAGTTAAATGGGTCAAAAGGTTCTGCTCCAAACAGGTCCCGTTCTAAAAGGAAGGAAATAATTTAGTAAATGAAATAACAAGTGAGCTGGAGTGAGTTAGATTTCAAAGGCAGGATTATATAAATGAATATTTACATGATCAAATGAACCACTAATCCACACTTACACTGTATGTGGGGCTTTCCTGAGCTTAGACAAGTTAAACATTAATAAGGAAGAAAAGACCCATTTTATGATATTAAAAAGTTTTATTATAAAGAATTATTATCTAGAGAGATTTCTGTGTTTTTAATGAAGATTTCTTACTATCAAATTCACCAAAGAGCTGATAATTAATATGTTACAACACCTATATTTTATTGAAGCAATTTAAATTTGCTAAAATTAATGCGCTACTCATTGAGGCTACCCTAATTCCATTGATTGATGCCTTGCAACACAATAGTTAAGCAATATGTAGGACTAAGTAGACTTGTAAGTAGCTCTACTCAAAGTTCATGTACTCTTATCTCCCCTTTTATCCAGAGAAAATTTTAAAGCACATTGTCTCATGTAGTATGAAATATCACCTTTCTAGATAGTCACAATGAGATAGTTTCTTTAAAAATGCCTCCTATCCCAGAAATACATTTCTTTTTTAAAAGCAGCAGGGATGCAGTGTCAAAAAAGCTTTCTGTACATATGTTCTAAAGTATGCACTACTTTTTTTTATCACTAAAGAAGTATCAAAGTTGAAAGTGATGTTTGTAATTGATAGATTTGGGCCTATTACGGGATTTTTAAAATAAAACATTCTTCAGGAATTTCTTTCCTCCGAATCAATTCAAATGTATCCTTAATTGGGAAAACATTAAATTATATATGAAAATGGGTATTTATAACATATTCATATCTTCATTTTGCAGAGAACTTTACATTCTCTAAATTCAATGCCATGTAAGAAATAATATTTATGCTACTTGATTTCTGCCATATCCTCTAAAATCACTCTGTGATTCTCATTGTGAAGGAGTCTTACTTTTCCAGTCTTCATGTTTTTTTTTCCAGATTCTTGTATTAAATAAGTTAAGAAATGTGAAATTTTTACAAGCTCCTTGTACTTGCAGGTATTGTATAAATAAGGGGAACATATAATTTTTCATCCAAATGCAGATACTTTTAAAAGTAAAAGGATCATTTTCAATAGTTACACTGGGTAAAAATCTATAAGCCAGGGCTATCCTAATAAAATGGGAATTTATTGTTACCTTATATATAACTGATGAGTATTACTATTGCTGTTATTTATTTTCTTCAGTTTAGTGTTGCTCAGGCAATCAATTGAAATTTAGCTTTCAAAGGATCTTTTCTTCAGAGAAATGTCCTGGTTTCCACTACACCATAAGCATACTGAATAATGCTTTTCACCTAGTAGGTGTTTGTTAAAAAATGAATTAATGAAAGGGAAGATTTGGTCAAAAGGTTCCGCTTCAAACCCATCCCGTTGTAAAAGGAAGAAAAAAATTTAGTAAACAAAATGACAAGAAATGACTTGGAGGGACTCACTTATATAGATTATGTCTATATAATCTCTATTTCTCCGTCTATTAAACTTTGGTACTCAGGAATATGTAGACATTGAAAAAGCTATCAAGGTATTACTGGAGCACTCTTGTTATGCTTCAGCAAAGAGACTGGCCGTGTTTTACTCTTGCCCTAGAGATCTGTGGAACTTTGAACTCGAGAGAGATGATTTAGGGTATCTGGCAGAAGAAATTTCTAAGCAGCAAAGCATTCAAGATGTGACCTGGCTTTTTCTAAAAGCATACAGTCATATGCATTCACAAAGAGATAATATGAAATTGGAACTTATGTTTAAAAGGGAAGCAAAACATAAAAGTTTGGAAGATATGCAGCCTGACTATGTGGTAGAAAAAGAAAACCCACTTTCTAAGGAGAAATTCAAGACTGCTGCAGAAATTAGCATAAGTAAAAAGGAGCTGAATGGTAATAGCCAAGACAATGGGGAAGATCTCATCAGCACATATCAGACATCTACAGCAGCCCCTCCCATCAAAGGTCCAGAGGCCTAAGAGGAAAAAATTGTTTCATGGGCCAGGCCCAGGGCCCTGCTGCTCTGTGCAGCCTCAGGACTTGGTATCCTGCATCCCAGCCACTCCAGCTCTAGCTGTGGCTAAAAGGGGCCAAGATACAGCTCAAGCCATTGCTTCATGGGGTAAAAACCTTAAGCCTTGGTGGCTTCCATGTGGTGTTGGGTCTGCAGGTGCACAGAAGACAAGAGTTGAGCTTTGGGAGCCTCTGCCTAGATTTCAGAGGATGTATGGAAATGCCTGGATATTCAGGCAGAAGTCTGTGGCAGGAGCAGAGCCCTCATGGAGAACCTCCACTAGGGCAATGCAGAGGAGAAATGTAGGGTTAAAGCCTTCACACAGAGTCCCCACTAGGGCACTGTCTAGTGGAGCTGTGAGAAGAGGGCCACCGTCTTTCAGACCCCAGAATGGTAGATCCACCAACAGCTTGCACTGTGTGCCTGGCACTCAATGCCAGCCTGTGAAAACAGCCATTGGGGCTGTACCCTGCAAAGTCACAGAGGTGGAGCTGCTCAAGGTCTTGGGTCCCATCCCTTGCATTAGCGTGCCCTGGATGTGACACATGGAGTAAAATGAGATAATTTTGGAATTTTAAGACTTAATGACTGCCCCATTGGGTTTCAAACTTGCATGGGGCCTGTGGCTCCTTCGTTTTGCCAATTTCTCCAATTTGGAATGGAAATATTTACCCAATGCCTGTATCCTCATTGTATTTTGCAAGTAACTAACTTGTTTTTTATTTTACAGGCTCATAGGTGGAAGAGACTTGCCTTGCCTCAGATGAATCTTTGGACTTGGACTTTTGGGTTAATGCTGGAATAAGTTAAGACTTTGAGAGATTGTTGCAAAGGTATGATTGGTTTTGAAATGTGAAAAGACATGAAATTTGGGAGGGGCAAGGAGTGGAATGATATGGTTTGGGTCTGTGTCCTCACCCAAATCTCATCTCAAATTGTAATCCACACATGTTGAGGGAGGGGCCTGGTGGGAGGTGATTGGATCATGTGGGAAGTTTCCCCCCTACTGTTCTCATGATAGAGAGGGAGTTCTGACGACATCTGATGGTTTAAAAGTGGCAGTTTATCCTGCGCACACAGTCTCTTCTGCTGCCATATAAGATGTACCTTGCTTCTCCTTTATCTTCTGCCATGACGTTGAGTTTCCTGAGGCATCTCCATCCATGCAGAACTGTACTCTTCGCTTATAAATTACCCAGTCTGAGGTAGCAACTTTATAGCAGTGTGAAAACTGACTGATATACTAGTGTTATTACCTTGTATTTACAAATTAGTCCTCTAAAATAAATTGAATACCTAACATGAGCAATGTATTTTAAGTTCCTTAGGGGAAATGAATATAATATGGGCCCTGCCATGTACTAAAGTCTTAAGCTAAAACTTCAGAGTTATATTCACAATGATTTAATATAAGCTAGAGAGAATGCAATCAAGTAGAATGTGTAAAACCCTCTTTTCTTCAGTTTCCTTTTAGACATAGTGACTGATTCATGACCATTGAGAATTATGCTTTCAGTTTCTGTCACAAGGCACAGATGGATATGTATTACAGCCAAAATATTGAAAATGAGCATCTGTTAGGTGTTTTCTAATTAATCAAAAATAGACTTTAATGTTCCTTCCAGATATATAAAAGATAAAACAGAAAAGCAATGAATTTATAGCATTTTAGATAGGAAAGAACCCTTACAAAAGGTTAATAAATCACAACATTCATATATTTTTTAACTAAAAAAGTCCATAAGCCCTATGAACAAACATATTTTAAGTAACTCTATTAAACATGTAAAAAATCATTAATAAAATTACCACCAGTTGTTTTTAATAATTAAAGTAAAATATTAAAAATATAACCCAAAACAATGATATATAATTAAATATTTTCTATTATGAAGTAATACATCAAAACATAATTGTTCAAATAATGGGTAAAAGTTCCAAGTAGAGATGTCGTTAGTAGTGCAGTCTGAATTATAAAGTAAAATAGAATTAATGGAAATTTACACATATATAAAAATAATACTTCAATAATTGAAATTGTAAGTAAAGTTGTTAAGATATGTAATTTCCCACAAAGTCTTAATTATATATTTAAAATGTACACAACTATAACAAGAAACATTGATTTGTTGAGAAAGCTTACTAATCTCAGTAGATCTACTAGGTACTGGAGGTGGCTGTGTGCCATTGCGAGTAGGCATTGAAGACTGGTGTGATATTGGAGAAAATGGAATCATATCAAAGATGTCAGTGGAGGGCGACTGAGGTGTCATACTGCCTGCCTGCAATGAAAATAAATGAATTAGGGTAGTATTTCATATAGATACATTGTAATGCTAAATATTTCACATGCATATAAAATATATGTAAACAGCAAATTCAGTTGAATCATAAGAATTTGCCATTTTGTAGACCGAAAATAGTTAAGTATTTGCAATTTCATGTGGTTCCACTAATTATGATAAATGCTCATTTAGAAGAAAGCAATAGAACATTTCTGCAAAAATGCTCTCAAAGATGATGGCAAAATGGTAACAATATTATTCCAGATGAATATAAAAGATACAGTGAATTTTTTGGATATATAGAAATGATTGCTACTTATAACAGAGAATTAGATATAGTAGAAACTATTCATATAAAAATATGATTTCAGTAAGATACTCTGCATAAGATAACATTTCAAACAGGAAAAATTAGACATAAGTGACTTGCCTTCTTAAATATAAACATTCAAATGCAATTGATTTTTTTGCATTCTCAAAAGTAGAGTATATTTTAGTTTGTATTTATAACAACAGTGGCAACCAACTGATATTCATTGCAGTACATTTTATTCTTGAAAGATTTCATCAAGTTTTCTGTAATAAATAGCTATCTTATAAAAACTAAATTAATAATCACCAATGTACTGCCCAAATCATTGAGTTTTCTGATACAGTCTGGGTCAGGACTAAATACATATAGGGAAAGATAAATGAAAACCTCATGAAAATATAGCCGAGAAGTAATATCAAAATTAGACATTCATCACTTTGTAAAACAGGGAACAATATGTATATACGTATAATCTCCTTTGAAAACCATCTCACTTGATCAGGGATAAAAGAAAGAGAATTTTCATTTTGGGGGAATAGTGATGAAAAATTTGCTTTTCCTATGAGAACTTGGACAGAGATTGCTTTGAGTGGTTCATATTAAAATTAGAATCCTCAGAATACGTTTAATTTTCTGATTTACAGATAATGCAGGTGATGAAAAAATCAGGCTTACTGTGTGTAGAGTGATGGGTTTACTATTCAGCTAAAATAATTGTTAGTACATTATTTTTCGTGCAGGAAAATTGCTGTCATCCTCCTTTCTTTAACAATTTGTTTATTGTATCCCCTCACCCTATTCCTGTTACTCAGCAATACTATTCCCCTAATTATCCCATTCCTGTATCCCCTTCTCACTTCTATCTCTCTACTCTTTTTCATGATACAAAAATTCTAAAATCTTGGCTGTCATTAAAAGCAAAACAAATCGACCAAAAATTTATTTACTCTGTCCCTCTTTAATCTCCCAACTTCTATTTTCTTTTTCTTTTTCCTTTAAGGCTAAGCTCCTTGAAAGAGATACTACACTTTCTGTCCTAAGATTTACTTCATTCTATCTTTAACTCTTATCAATCTAGATTTGCTCTTTTTGCACTGAACTCTGCTGAAATTACTTTTACCAATGATCTAATTTCCCAATAGTGATATCTGATAAATCATTTGAAGTATCTGTATTACTTTATATTTTTGTAAATTTCTACACTGGCACCACCCTCTACTTGAAACTTTCTGGTATCAGGTAATCAAAGAAAACAAAAATGGCACACAAAGCCTCCAGATCACATCACATTGATTCAAGATACATCTAAATTTTTGATAACTTTATAAATAGTACATTTTGGCAGAATTTAAACAAAATAAGTTGGATAATAAAAAGAATTATCTGCTTAGTAAATTACATGCGGTCTTGGGATGCTGCTCTCACTGACTGGCTTGGGAAAGCCACATTTAGAAGGTGGTGGTATTAACAGTCCCAGTGATAGTCTGGAATCAGGTGAGTTGACAGGAGTGACAGACATGGAAGAAATATTGAGACAGGGAGATGAATCACCACTACTACGCCAGAAAGAGGATGAGCATCTCTGAAACCCGTGTTGCTCATGATCAGACATATCGTGCAGCAGCTGTAAAGGAATGACAGAAAGAGAAATATCCTAAGAGGAAAGGCATGGAGGAAAGGAAAAAGTATACTTGAAATTTATTTGTAAAATGGTGTTTTGTTAAGATGATAAGATCATTTCACAATAACTTTTCTAAAATTAAAACATAGAGTTGGTTTTCCTATGTGATAGTCCTTAGATTCTGCATTGCTTAATTTGATGTTTTTTTACTGAAATATTGCATTTTTAGATATTTTAAATAGAATATTGCATTCATCACGACCTAAGAGGAAGGTAATGGAGAGAAAAATGAAGAAAGCCTGAAGATTTATTTTGGAGAGGGCTTCTGTAATGAAATGGGAAAAGGAAGGATAGTAATGAGAGAACAGTCACAGAACTAGGAGTAAACTCTTCCAAATAAATTTATGGTTTTGTAGAATTTTCAAAAGAGCTCACAACATACATTTTATGTTTAATCCTCAAAACATTCTTTGAAGTATCAGTAGTAGTAATATTATGTCTTTATTACAATAAACACATGGGAATTAAGCTCCACAGATTCTTTGTGACTTACGACGGGAATTAAGGTCCACAGATTCTTTGTGATTTATTCTTATATGAGGTAGAAAGCAGATTCAAAATTCAAAACAGTCTGATTCTAATCATCATGCCCTTTCTATAGTCATGAGGAGCTCCAAACTGTAAGACTTTTAGGGGGATGGGAAGAGGTGATTGTCAAGCATCTCAAATAAATCAGAGAGATAATAAATAACAAGCAAGCAGTGTAGTAGGTCTGAACATCAGTATGTGCATGACTTTTAGGGGCTATTTCCATTACAGCATGGAAAGCTACTGTTAAGAGCTGAGCTGGAGAGAGCTGAGCTGCCAGATGTCACAGCGGCCAATTAAACAGCAGCCAAAATGGAAGTAATAATTAAGTCTGTATTCATTTACTGCTATAGTATAAGCAAGAGGCCAGAGAGAAGGTGCCTGCTCTATCAATGCTCCATTTTCCCCACGGAATGGCATTGAGCAAGGGTCAGAAGTATCACTGCAGAAGTGAGCCTTTGTCTCATTACTTAGGGACTTCTGCACAAAAGGTTCCTAAGGGTTTTTCTTTGGACAAGAGACAGTGGGAGGGAGAAGGGAATGGCTAGCAATAGAAAAGTACTGAATACTGAGACATAGTGGAGAAAAGTGGTCTCCAAGTCCCTTGAATAAGGTGGTCTCAGGAGAGGCACCTAAGGCCCTCTAAAAGGAGGCCCCTGAGTGGAGTTGCCTGGGCTATAAATGTAGATATGCACAAGAGCATAGCTGGCCAGGGGACCTGAGTACTAGATTCAATTCCTCCAAACTGTGCACCAAATACAATGTGATGAGGGCACCTTTCTCCCATCAAATACAATGTGATGAGGTGTGCCAGACAAAGCCTTTGTAACTGCCTATGCTCCGGCCAGAAAGATCCCACATAAGATTCTGGCTGGGAGCCACATTCCTCAGCTGCAAATCACATGTCAGAGATCTTTCACCACTAACAAAAATTCAAGGAGAAAACAAAAATCTGATTTTTTATAAACTTTGTTGTAAAAGGTAGTAATTAAAATTAGTGAAGGACCAACAAGTCTGAGGTTATGTCCTTAAGCTAGGAGGACCCTCTTCACATATTTCCGGAAGCAGAGAGAAAAAGGAAGCCATGTAAAGTGAGAAATTAAGTTGAGGGAAAGGTTCAGTGTGGAAGCAAAATCTCTGCTAGTCTGAGTTATATAATTAATCACTCTATTAATATCCATATGTAAATATATAATTTTTGATTTCTCTGTTGATCTTCATTGTAATACACCTCGATCTATTTATGTAGAGATGTGTATGTACACAATTTTTAAAATCTATTTTTGTTCGATATAACTTACTGTATCATTCTGTCCTTGGTGGCCAACTTTTAATTATAGATTACAGTTGTAAGCTCTTTGTGAGAAAATTTTTGTTTTTTGTTCCCAAATACCCTATGTAACACATTAGTGTAAATGATATTTATTGTCTAATTTATACTAGAGCATCTTTTTACTTAAACTGTTAATTGATAAGGCTGTCTGTACTGAGTAAAGATATTAAGTGGAAATTGTCCTTGATATTATCTAGTTTAAAATATACATGGTAATACTCTATATTTTTTTAGGATATATATTGGCCACAATTCTTTACTAGGTACCTGAAAACAAACTGAAGGTCAAAATAACCTTACTTGAAAGTGCTCTGTTATTTTTATCATAGTGTTTGCAGTATTCTTATAGTACTACTTCCTCTGGGGAGGTAAACTTAACATAAATGAAGAATGTATACGATATAAAAATAATCAAGTATTTATACACTATAATCAAGAGGTTTTTTTCAATTTCAAAATGGTAAATCAGGGATATTTAATAATGTCAACTGTTCTGGTATCTAGAGTTTAAGACTCCAGAACTATTACTCACAGGTCTTCTTTGGGTCATCAGTAATTTGGCAGTTTTTGTTTAGATCACATGGGTCTTTTAAAGCATAGAATTAGGTGTTCCCAACACAAAGAAAAGATAAATGTTTGAGGTGATGGATACTGCAATGACTCTAACTTGATCATTATACATTATGTGCAGGTATCAAAATATCATCTCTACCCACAAACATGTACAACTAATATGTATCAATAAAAATTTTTAAATTAAAAATAAATTAATATATAAAAATAGATTACATATTAAAATCCAGAACTTTTCCCCAGAAGTTAGAAAATCTAGAATGTAGGCCCACACACTTGCATGAAAATAGTTGACTGGTATTGAATATCTGCTGTGTCTTTGAAGTTAGCCTGTGCTTTCAAATTTATCACTCCTACCATATGCCCATTTCACACTTGAATGTCATAATCTGGGCTATATTAAAGTTTGAGTTTTTGATTCCCAACCTAGAAGCAATTCAAGTCAAGGAATCAGATGTTATATCTAATTCCCTATAAAAATGAAATGTAAGTCCAGCACATTTAAATATATGGGTAAAGTTGGCGCTTGATTCTGTACTAAATGGTTAGGTCTATTCAATAAGGATATG